AAAAGCTAAATGGCAAATAGCAAGGCAGGAGAAAGGATAGGCGGGTAGAGAGAATAAATTGAGGAAGCAATTGGAAAGGAAGTGATCGAGGAATACGATAGAGGAGGGGGACTCCAGGGACAGCCACTGCACAGCAAGCCACGGAGTAGGAAGTAAAGAAAGGTGTATAGAAACAGAGAAAGGTAAAAACGCAGAGACAAAAGATAGGCAGGATAATTTAAGGAAAAACTGGCAAGAAACAAGGCAAGCTAAGGTCAGGCATTTTGTGGGGGCCCACGTGTGACTCAGTTTCCATCTGGAGTCATAAATGACTCAAAGAAGTCATTTTAGTTCAAGCTTCCCTGCTCTGCTTTTTCCAGGAACCTTGAGGGCTGTGAGTGACATCTGTGTCAGCTCATACGTAGAGCATGTTTGCCCAGATGAAAGAGCATATCTTTTCTATTAAGATGTGGGCGAGTGTATGTCAGCCAGAAGCACTACCCATTAGAGATTAGAAGCTGCTTAGCTGAATGAGATAGTGCACCTGCTTGAGCTTCCTCCCAAGGACAGTGCAGGGAGGTGGTTCACTGACTGTCAGTAAAAGATAAATAGAAATTGAATCTTAGACGGCAAATCTCACAGAACAAAGAGAATTAGAAGGGAGCAGGAAAGTTACAACGGAGCAGAGGGAAGGGGAGCGGTGGGCCGCAGGAAGCCTACCTCCGCGTGGAAGATCTGCTGGTAGACTTTTCCATTTTCTACCTGGGACATTTTCCCCACTGGCGACATCTTGGCTGCTGGCCGGATTCCCCTTCGTCCTGGAAACGAGCCTGGGACTTGATCTTAGTGTCTGTCCACTCCGAGATGCTTGCGGGGACCGCGGACCCTAAAACAGCACTAGATCCCACAGGACATCCTGGGAAACTTAAATTTCAAAGAAAACAAGAAAGGAGGTGGAAGGAGAGGGAGAGAAAGAAAGACCGAGACAAGAGGAAACGAACTTCTTCAGATAAGCAGGGCGTAAATCCCACAGGCAGTTTCTGGAAAGAACAGGATTATTGTCTGCGTGCCACTGGAGCTCTTATGGGAACAGGCAATGGCCTAAGATGTCAGATGGAACAGGAACCCCAACCACATCCTCTGGGAGAAACGGGGAGTGGCGGGAGGGGAAGGATTTGCTTCCGTATGCGTCCTGCCCTCCCTCCTAGTTGCTCAGTCAACCCGTTGCCCTCCAAGCCCAGCGATCTGGAAAGGCCCTGATCTAAGGTTGGCGGCTCCAGTACCTGAAGCTCAGATTAGCCAAGACCACTACCAGCAACAGCAGCAAGACGCCAGCGGTCTCCTAGGCGACGCGATGGGCGGAGCTGGTCCTGCCCACACTTCCCCTCTTCCGGAGCTGGGTCTCTTCGCAACCACAGCGACCCACGTGGAGTACTAAAACTCAATTACGACTTCCAATCTTGGGCTCTTGGAGCACCCTTATATGTTCCCAAAGCTAGTGGGAGATCAGAGAGTCCGCGCAGGTCTTGACTGTTGTGGTCAAGGAATCTTCGTTGTTTCGGTCAAAACAACCTGGGGGGGGGGGTACCCCAAGGTGGTCCTCGACTGTAAGAATCTGAAAGAGAATAAATCTTTTCCCAATACAAAAGAGGTTGGCGGGCTCAGAAGTCAAGGCTCGAGACCTGCCTGGCCGCCTGGCCGGAAGGAGTTTCTCCTGTTCTGTGGGCGGCTCTGGTCTTTTCCAGAGAAGCCTACGGTGGCAGGGGTCCAGGAACAGACCAGCTGGCAAGTCTTTCCCCAAGGTGACTTTCCCAGAGTGAGTGATCTTCCGCAGCTGGCAGCAGTATCAGAAACGCGAAGTGTTGACTAGACCACGCTAGTCTCATTCTTCGACGCAGGTGAATGAGGAAACAGTGAATACAAAACCCTGTAATCCTCTTTCTTTGATACAGGTGAAATAAAATAAAGATTGGATTCATGTCAGCTGAAAAAAAAGTGTGTAGGTGACCCGGGGAAGGGATGAAAAACATGATTTTTATGAGTTTGTTTGTTTATTAGTTTTGAATCTTTGAGACAGGGTTTATGTAACAGCCCTGGCTATCCTGGAACTCACTTTGTAGATCAGGTTGGCCCAGACTCACAGAGAACCGCCTGTCTCTGCTTCCCGAATGCTGGGTTTAAAGGCGTGTGCCATCACTATCCAGCGAAAAGCTTATTTTTAAAAACACGACATTTTATTCAGACTCTGGTTGGTTAATTGTTGTTGTCTTTACAGTTCCAGTTCTTTTTCTCATCGGCTGCTGGCTTGAGTTGCAGACAACAGAAGACTGCCCCCGCTCTAGTTCTGAGCAGCTATGGCTTCCCAGGAGCAGTCATTAAAAACCTCCCAACTAAAGACAATCCCAGTACAGATGGAACCGCCGGTGGATTTTACCTTTGTAGAAGAACCAGTATCAATCTTTTCATCAGATGAGTCCATCAAACAGAAAAGTAAAGAACTTTGATAACCTTTTTATGAAGCTAGTATTATCTTGATTCCAAAACCAGGCAAAGAAGCAACAACAACAACAAAAAAGAAATGGCAGATCAATCTCCCCAATGAACGTAGGTCCAAAAGTTCTCAAGAAAATACTTGCAAACAGGATTCAAGACTACATCAAAAGGATCACCAAAATCAAGTTGGCTGTACTCCAGAGATACCAGGACAGCTCAATCTAAGTAAATCGATAATTGTTATAAATTACATAAATGGATTTAAAGGTAGAAATCACAGGTTCATCTCAATTGTAGAAAACACCTTTGGCAAGATCCAATATCCCTTCATATTTTCTAAGTGTCTTCCCAATTCCTTTCTTTGATGTTTTAATGTTTGCATTATAGTGTTCTTTCCGGTTTTTTAGCTCTTTTCATGTTCCAAGGTACTTTTTCCTTTTCTTCTTCTTTTTTCTGTGTTTCTTTTAGTGGAATCCTGCCTGTCTTCTGTCTTAGTATGTTTGTCATTGTTATATAGCAGGGTACTGACTTCAGTGTTAATTTTGTATCCTGCCACTTTGCTGAAAGTATTCATGTAGTGAGCTTTTGTTTGTGTTTTAACATATAAATCTTGCCTGAAGATCAGAGTGCAGAGCTAAGCCCCTAGAGGCCAGAGAGTGGTGGTGCATGCCTTTAATCCCAGCACAAGAGAGGTAGAGACAGGAGTGATAGGGTTGGGTGGAGAGAGGAAAAATAAGGCAGGAGGAGACAGGAGCTCAGATGCAGTCTGAGGTTTGGTGGAGACAGATAGGTCTGGAGATGCAGTCTGAGGACAGACTTTCCCCTTTGATCTGAGCATTTGTAGAGGTAAAGGAACTCTCTAATCTTCAACATTAATCCCTATATCTTACTCGGGTTTTTATTATTAAGACCAACTAGAATTCATGCTACATATTCATCGCTTCTAAGAGTTTTCTGGTAGATTCTGCTAATTGCCCCTCTTCCAGAGAATGGCCACACCCATCCTCTGGAGGTGGCACAAACGGGACTCATGGAGTTATATTTTCTAAAAACTAAAAAGACATTGTGCTGATAGTATTTATTGCCAACTTAACACAACTTAGTCTTCTGGGAAGAGGAATCCACTATTAAGGGGTTGCCCAAACCAGATTGACCTGGGGCTATGTCTCAGGGGCACTGCTGGTTGATGATCCCAGCCCACTGTGGGCAGTGCACCCGCTGCTTAAAGTTCTGGGTGGTATACAAAAGAAGGTTGAGCATGAGACAGAAGGGGCAAGCCAGCGAGCTGTGTTCCTCCATGGACTCTGCTTCAGTTTCTGCCTACGGGTTCCTGTCCTCCTCGAGTTCCTACCCTGATTCCCACAGTGGTATACTTTGACCTGGAAATGTAATCAGAAATAAACCCTTTCTTTCCTAAGTTACTTTGATCTGAATGTTCTATCACAGCAACAGAATGGCGGCAGGAGCAGACATGAAGGCAGGAGGGAGGGGTGTGTTGGGAAGTGTCTGGGAGAAAAGGAAAGTGGGGTGGGTACAATCAAGACACAGATGTACATACACGAAACTGTCAAAGATTAAATGAAAATATATTTAAAAGAATCTTTCTCACCATGAAAAGAATGTGCTTACAGTTCATTTCTGATAGTATTTTATTATTAGAAATATATCCCATTTTATTTATTTTCAACGTATAGTAGGTGTTTTCCGTTTCAGTTTGGAGCTGCGTCCTTGCTTGGCTCCAGGGACTCAAGCTGACTGCGAACATAAGGGAATTTTAAAAAAATGATAGACAGCCCAACACACGGACAGACAGCTGTGTGGTTGTCTGAGCGCTCAGATGGAGAAACTACAACACCCAGAAGCTCGGCTTGTTTGTTACATAGAGCTGCATGTGGACAGACAAAGAGGCAGAGTTTATGGTATACATCTGGATCAAGGAGACAGGTTAGGTAAACCCCGTAGGAGCAGTCTCTGTAGGAGAGCAGACTTCAGGCTGCAAATCTCTGGAGGGAGAATGCTGTGGTGGACATTGCCTCCCCACACTGTCAGTATTTGAACTCAGTCCTCCAAGAAGGGTTTCTCAAACCCTCTGAGCCTGAGGCTGTGGGGTGGGGTCCTATTTCAACAACACTAACTCAGTCAGGACTTCACTCACTCAGAGCTGACTCCATTCTCCACAGTTTGGGAGTATATCCAAATCGCTGCTCTGACCATTCTTCTGTACGGTGAGCATATACAGCCATCTCTACTTGTCATGTAATTAATATTAAAATTTCTGGGTCATAGAGTATAGCGTGTGCATCTTAGGAAATACTACCAAAGGTCCCGAAAGTGCTAACAGTTCACACACACACACACACACACACACACACACACACGCACACACACACACACCCCTAGTGATCTGTATCCTCACCCATACTTGGTAGTGTCATCAGACTTTCTTCTAGCTCTTACGTGGTGGTGTAACACCATGGTTTTAATTTGCATTTTTCTGATGTGTAACAATATATGTTCACAGACTTACACACACACACACACACACACACACATCTTTCTGTGACATGAGTTCTGTATTAGTTCCCTGTTACTGCAACAAAATGTCTGAAATATTGAATGTATGATAAGGTTTATTTGGACTCATGGTTTTGGAGGCTGCAGTCTATGATTCTCCTTAGAAGCCCATTGATCTTGGCTTCTAAGGAGAATATCATGGTAGGAATAACTAGTGAACAAAAATACTCATTCCATTAGCTAAGAACCATAGAGACTAGGGTCCTATGATATCCTTCAAGCTCATGCCTCTGGTAGCTTAAGGACCTCCTACTATGCGCCATTCCAAAAGGTCCCACTGCTCTGCATGGTGCCGTCCCAGGGACCAAGGCCTTAAAAGTACATGGGCCTTTGGCAGACACTGCCTACACTCAAGCCATAGAGACAACCAAATTTGGATCTTTGCTTTTGAGAGTTTAGAGTGTCAGACACAAGCTTAAAGCTGTCTGTGTGCTCTGAATAATTTTATTCTCAAGACAATACCCGGAGTGGGGGTGCTGCCCCCTTTTGTAGTTACAGGTAGTTGTGAATAGAGGAAGACGAAGTCATTCAGCCAGAGACGTAAACGTGATGTGTGTGTGTGTGTGTGTTTTCTCTCTTTTTTCAGCTTCTAGAAGCAAACTGCCAAAGAGCTGTTGCAGAGACTCAGCTAAAAGAGACAACCCTGACACATGCACCAACCGGGCCAAGTGTGCACATCAACCAGGCTCAAGCGCTCTAGACGCTGGGTTCTCACAGCACTTGCTCTAGTTCCTGAGGCACTACCAGCAGTCAGACTGTACCTGTCCTGGGTTAATTTTTGGGTAAGTGCTGGGCTCTGCATAAGGACAATGCCCATGCCTCACAGCGTGACACTTGTAGCTTCTGAATAAGCTTCCCCATCTTTCAGCACCTGCACCCCATGTGCTACACGGACGTCATCATCAAATGCCTTGGGTCTCCTGCTCACATAGCAGATGGCCCAGCCTTGGAGCAGAAGTCGGTAGCCCAATCAGCAATCCGAGCAGGTCGGCAGGATCTGTGCGAACTCTTGGGAACCATGTCCTGATTTTGATTTTCTAAGCATGGCGAGCCTGGGGTTGTTGATCAGTGTCTGTAGCAGGAGCCACCTCGTTCGGGCCCTGGCTGAGAATCGGGGACCTAGGACAGAATCAGACAGAGAGAGGGGTGGGGATGGGGTGTAGACTCTGCAGTTAACCTACAGTGCAAAAGGAGCGTTAGGAGGCATTGGATCAGGACTCCCCGGAAATGAGGGGGAGAAGTGTGGGTTATTCCACAGGCCTGCCGGGGATGTTTGTGAGGATATCTGAGCCCTTAAGGGGCAGGAGGAACTCAGAGCACTTTCTGTAAGCAATGAGGCAGAGTAATCAAACCTGAGCTCCATTTTTTAAATGGCATCTGCCAACGGCCTGAGACGTATGTCGGCATGCCAAGGCAATGGGGTACAGACAACTGTGCAAGCAGACCTGGGTCTCAGTTCTGGGGTAAGCAGGTGAGCTAGACTGCAGGACAAGGTCATACAGCTTGACTGATGGGAGCCCGGCCTAAAGGGATGCAGAGGAGGGGGAGCAATAAGGGGATCGGACCTCTTGGGGGTCCCAGGGAGCCCAGTGGGTATTCATTTTCCTCTCTGAACTCAGTGCAGGTTCAAACAGGAGACACTACCTGCTGATTGGTTCAGGTAGCAGTATTTCAGGGTCTTCTGCAGCTTCCGGTCCCTGTGGCTTGTGACCAGGATGTGGCAAAAGCTGACCAGGACAGGGTTGGTGTGATAGTGGTCCACAAAGAGCATGCCAACCCACGCATTGAAGCCTGAAACCCGGGTGAAAGGAGGTCAGGCCGGGCCACACTCCCATCAGTGCCCGGTTTGTACTTTTTATGGCCCGAGTTCTTACAGAGAATCTCCAGAGCCCATGTAAAAATCTGGACGGATTCTTGAAGAGAGTATTCTACTCTGTGCCTTTGCAGGGAACTCGAAGCCTGAAGGGGCTGAGAGCAGCCAAGGGAAGGCAGAGGTGTCCGTGCAGATCTTAAACAGCCAAGGGAATGAGTGACCAGGGCTGGGAGCTCTAATTTTACTTCCTCAAGAATGGCTTTGATTTTAGAGTATATTAAACCAGACACTTTCTTCACTAAATGTTCAAATGACAATGCTAATAATTCTGAGATTTGTTCTCATCTCCAATCTATGTGGAAAGTTTGACTCCTCGGTCTCACATCTCAATGGCCTGTGGGATGGGCAGGGTTAAAGAACCTTGCATTCCCTCTGACCATCAGAATACACATTTCTTGTGTGTGCTCACATGTATACGTGAAAGAAGAGGTCTTTCCCTGGGACCTGGTGCTCACGGTAGACTGAGCTGTCTGTCCAGTCAACCCTAAGGATCCTCTTGCCTCCACATCCCCAGTACTGTGATTACAAACAGATCACACCTTGCATGGCTTTTTGCATGGGTTATTGCGATCAAACTCAGGTCCTCACACGTGTACAGTAGGCCCTTTAACGACAGAGCCATCTCCCCAACCCAGAACGCCCGTTTCTATTACTTGGCCTTATGACCTCTACCAGAAGACACGTTCTAAGCCTGTGAAGGTGTGAACTCACACCCATTTTTCCACAAAGATGTGAGGCCAACGATTCCCCGATGGAGGTGACCAGTAGGACTGCCACTCACCCATGTCTGCGCCCTCATAGCCGCTCTGCATGATGGTCCTGTCGATCCGGGCAATCAGCCAGGTGCCCAGGAGGCAGCTGATAAGCAGCCTGGAGAGGCAGGCGCCCAGGCCCAGGAGCACATTGTAGAAAAACAGGAAGTAGTTGAAGTTGTGGAACGCTCTCCTGCAGACAGAAACAGGCACGGGGTAGCCCCTCGGTCAGGCAAGGTAACGAGACAGTCTGCTCTGGCTGCGTTCAGACCAGGCGCTAAATTCTGCAACACTGTTTCCTAAGCTTACGATCTCCTGCTGGATCACAAGTGGAGCTGAGTGCCCAGCTCACAGTGCTGGAGGGTGGTGTGGTCCCTGAGGGGGCGTGGGGAGCACAAAGCACAGAGCAGGATGCGTGCTACTTGCTTTGTGTGACCTTCGGATTCTTGCATAAGGCTTCTTCGAGGACTAGAAATACCATGGGGTACTGCTGGCTCAAGGGTTGCAACAATGCCAGGGTCCACTTTTGTCACTGCATAGGACCTAGCCCAGCCAGAGGACCTGGTCCTCCAGAGGAAATGTCTCAAAGGACCACCTGACCACAAACTGCATCCTGGATGTCACAGACCCCTCTGACAGAGGACTTATTGGTCTTGTCACTAGGTGTCCCTTGGTGTTCCCACTGTGTAAGGACCTTATATGGTGGACATTTGGGGAGCTCACTATTGCCACAGGGGAACTCACTATTCTCCCAGCGCTCCAGTTTGTGTCCTATGGTTTCTATCCACGGTGTGGTAGCTGTCAGCGGTCCCAGTTTCTCCTCTTCACAGGCAGGAAATCTGCTGCTGATGGGCTCGCCTGCTCACCTCTTCTCCTGCCTCTCCCCTTCTTCCCTCTTATCCTGCCTCTCCCCTCCTCCCTACCTCTCCCATCTGCCTCTTCTTTAGATCACTCAGGAAGCCTTGTCCCTTACCCACGTGCCAGTCCTCTCTGGTAATCTATGAAGTTCTCAGAGGCGGTGAGTAGGGATAGCTATCTCTTTGTTGCCAGTGCTAAGGTTGCCTCCATGAATGAATAAATGAATGAATGAATGAATGAATGAATGAGAGTTTCATTACTTTACTGTGCTGTCCATATTTTACATGTTTCACCCTTAAAACACTTCTTTAAGGAACACAAAATAACTTATAAATGGGGAAGCTGAAGTTCACGTATTTAGTGAGGTCAGACAAAGTCACACGGCTCTCCTACTACTAGAAAAGGCAACTCTGAATTCCAGGGCATGTGACCCCAGAGTCTCCCCCTATGTACAGTGTCATAGTCTCTCACGGAATTCAGAGCCCTCCAGAATCTGTGCACCACTAGGCAGCAGGTGGAAGCAACAGCAGCAGCCTTATGTGTCCCCCTCCCTCCTCCACCCTCACCTGTTGTTGAGAGCCAGGGGCTTCTGCGTGTCAGCTGTGCCCAGCTTGGGCTGCAGGAAGAAGCTGCCAGCGATCCACACCTGCAGGATCATGAGACCCACGACTATGGAGAGGGTGAGGCTGAAACACAAGGCAGGTTCACCCTGAGGTGATCTGTTCTACTGTTCCAGACCCTTCTCTGATATACAGTGGGGGGGGGGGGGAGGGGGAAGGGCGGAAAAGAGAGAGAGAGAGAGAGAGAGAGAGAGACAGAGACAGAGACAGAGACAGAGACAGAGACAGATGGATAGGTAGGTAGGTAGGTAGGTAGGTAGGTAGGTAGGTAGATAGATAGCACCCAGAGGAGCAAGTACTCGACAATCAGCCTTCCACTGTCTCCAGAGAGCTGAGTAAGGCACTAGGAAGGGTGGGAATTCTACACTGGGCAACACAACATACCAGATAGCTTATCCATGGTTCCTGCCCCTTCCTGCCTGATGTCCCACCTCTTACTCATCCCCCTACAGCTTATTTCCGTGTTGGGAAATGGGATACTATGCCTCACACACATGATTGTGAAAGTCTCATGGAATGATGGGAGAGGAAGCCTTTTGAAAACATAAGAGTCCCTCCCTGTGAAGTGCTGTGATGACCCATCTGAGTCATCAGGACAAGACCTTGGACCCAGGGCTGGGTCCCCAGGATCAGTAAGAATGTTACAGTAAGTTATCTACTCGGCACTTACACCCCAACGGCCAGCCCTCGCAGCATCTCTAGGCCTTGGTGGTGGAGGATGGGCAGCACCAGACTGTACATGAGCATCACACCACAGAGACTCTGGACCACGTGGATGATGAGGTAGCCTGGAGATGAAGTAGCGGGGATCACTAGGGGCTCTCTTGGTCCACTCCCATACTCCTCCCTGCAGGCGGACCTGGCCTATACCCTCCTCCACCAGAGGTACTTGGCACGTTTGCTGGCACTGTTTCTTCTGCCCACCATGATTTCCCCATCTTCCTGCTTGCCCAGTGCTCTGTCAGATGCAGTTCAAAAGTTAACTCCCCTAGAAATCCCTTGAGTCTCACGCTGGTGTGGAGGGCCCTTTCCTCCTCTGTGCATTATGCCCTTAGCAAAGGCGGCCAGAGAGATGAGGGAGAGGGAGGTGACATGTAGTATTTCTCCACCATTCTCCAGACTCCCCAAAGCTAGATGCTAGGGCTACTCCTCCAGTGTCTCTCCTCACAGCTGGGACCCTGCAGGTACCCAGGGAACAGGGCTGGGCTACATGGGTCCTGGGGTAGCACTTACCCCAGAGGATGTAGGCTATTTGCCAGCCAGAGTACCTTGCAATGGCCACCTGAGAGAAGGAAAACAGAAGGTTCAGAATAAGATGAGAACTTCCTTCCCTTCAAGCCTTGTGCCCAGGACTCTATCTGATCTGAGGGTCACCCGTAAACCAAAGCAGGTTCTTCACACGGCTGCATTTTGGGATGGAGGCCTGGCTTGACTTCTCTGGGCTCCTGTCAGGTGTGGCTCAGCTCCCTACAGACTCACCACACTGGCTGCTGAGGAGGGACGATGGAACTTCTGAGGGAGGAAGTGTTTGTCTCCGGCCCACAGCCTCTTTATGTGCTTTCTGTGGAAGAGGAAAAGTAGGTGACATTCATAATCATGGGGCTTTCTGTAGGGTCAGGGCTCAGTGGAAAGGCCTGTGGCAGGGGGTGTCAACAACAGCTCCTGCAGAAGTTCTGGCTTCTCTTCAACGTCTTCAACGTTACTACAGTTCATAAAAATAATACACGCTGATCAAGTCATAACAGAAAGCAAATTTGATAGATGAGATTATGCTTTCTTTAATTCTGCTTTCTATACTTATTCTGTTGTCGGAAATGCATATTACTTAATATTTTTAGACAGTTAACACGAGAAAATCACTTTTGTTGATGCATAAAAAAAAAACATAAAGAAAAATCAAGGGTGGGCTAGATGGCTCAGCAGGTAAAAGCCCTTGCTGCAAAGCCTAGTGACCCAGGTTCAATCCCTAGGAGCACACGGTAGGAAAGAGCCAACTCCCACAAGTTGTCCTCCGACCTCCACACATGCCGTGGCACATGCATCCATACAAACACATCATACACTCACCCACACATGCAATAATAGTGCATTTTTGTTGTGTGTGGGGCAGTTGTTTGTTTGTTTGTTTTTAGATAGGGTCTCTACATAGCCCTGACTGTACTGGAACTCACTATGTAGACCAGACTGGTCTAGAACTGACAGAGATCTGCCTAGCTCCTACTCCTGAGTGCTGGGATTAAGGCATGCACCACCACACCAAGCCTAATAATACATTTTTAAACAGAAAAAAAATTAAAGGGGCAATAACTCCTCATAGAATCCCAGCCCCACCACTCCATTTCCCACATCCCTGTTCAGGTCCTGGCCTATTGGTTGGTGGTGTTCTGTTCCTAGGTCACATGCCTACTTGTGGGATAGTCTCTCTCTCTCTCTCTCTCTCTCTCTCTCTCTCTCTCTCTCTCTCT